AAAAACAGGTAAAAACACCAAAGAAACAGCTAACACAAAACTGCTAAAATCACCAAAAACTAAATACACCAAAAACAGGTAAAAACACCAAAGAAACAGCTAACACAAAACTGCTAAAATCACCAAAAACTAAATACACCAAAAACAGCTAAAAACACCAAAGAAACAGCTAACACAAAACTGCTAAAATCACCAAAAACTAAATACACCAAAAACAGCTAAAAACACTTCAACTGCTAAAACTGCTAAAAACACAAAAACGGCTAAAAAAACAAAAACTGCCAAAAACCCAACTTAAATCTTGATGGAAACTCTTCAGTCCCTTCAAACATTGTTCTCTTTGAAATCTGCTCCAGAAACTGGCTCGTTTTATTTTGTATGCTACTTTTAATTATAGCTATTGTTTTGCCACTTAGCTTTTAGCTACCACTTAGATGGATTAAGTTCATATTCTCCTCTTTTTAGCTACAATTTAGCTGTTAACATCTACAATGCAAACTGTAGTTATTTTATCAGGCTTGCTGGAAGTGAAGCAGCAGACATGGAGTATCTGAACATAAATGATCTAAACAGAACTAATAAAAAAAAACATGATGAACAATATTCATAAATTGGGATCCTGATCGTTTCAGGAAGTGTTTTGTTAATTGCAGCTTTATTACATAGTTTTTATTTTTTATTTTTCTGTTACAGTTTGTTTTACTAATTTCTGTTTTTGCAGAGTTCAGTTTGAGCATGCGTTGGTTACAGTTAGACAGTTAGGATAAGTATAGAAATGTTTCAATTTGAGCTGATGTCAGATAGCTCATTTTAGCTGCTGTCAGGTTTCAGAAGGGAAGTGAACAGATGAACAGAGATTACAGCAGGCATCATGGGGGAGGCAGGCTGTACCTTAGCATCACTGTGGTAAACAAAGATGTTTCTTGTGCTGTTGTCTTTCAGGTAGGTAATCTGCAGACCACAGGGATTACCAATCTTAGCTGGCTGGAAAGTGGCGTTAAGGGTTTCAATCTTCATTGTCGCCTTTGGATCTCTGGCCTTGATGGGAGCAAAACAACACACAGGGTCAGGTTTCAGACTGGTCCTTTACCAAGGGTTAGCAGTGTCATCAGCAGGGCTCACTCACATCCTGCTTGTTGAAGTATTTCAGAGCTCCCTCCCTCTCAGACAGGACAAACTTTCGACTGAAGAACTGACCGTTGTCTCGTCCTCGTTTCCATAGAAAACCCTCTCTGTACCCTGTTGGGAGAGGAGAATGAGACAGGAGACCAAACAGAGGACTGACCAGGAGCAGAGCAAGGCTTTAACTCTAACTGCAGCTGAACGATGCTCTCAGATCTCATTTCCATACAGAGGAAAGAAACAGGAAACAGAGTGAGTCAACACTGAGTCTGTCTTTAGTCTGTTACAGTTTTGTTTTATCTACATTATGAACAGAGTGAGTCGACACTGACTCTGTCTTTTGTCTGTTACCTTTGTTTTATCTGCAGTTTGAACAAAGTGAGTCAACACTGAGTCTGTCTTTAGTCTGTTACAGGTTTGTTTTATCTACATTATGAACAGAGTGAGTCGACACTGAGTCTGTCTTTAGTCTGTTACAGGTTTGTTTTATCTACATTATGAACAGAGTGAGTCGACACTGAGTCTGTCTTTAGTCTGTTACAGGTTTGTTTTATCTACATTATGAACAGAGTGAGTCGACACTGAGTCTGTCTT